CAATTTTTTTACCGATTTTTGGTGGAAAAAAGAACTGAAATGACTAATGGATTAAAAAAATATTTAGCCATTTATTTTTCTCAGGCGACTTAACCATTATTCAACTTAATGTTTCAGCTCTGGTTGGATCTGTTTAAGCATCTCTCGTTTCTTACCCACAGTGAGGACAGGGTTTGGCCAGAGATTGAAACGCACACCAACCTCCAGTAGAACATCATTACATCAGATAAATGATAAAATATCAAAAGCTGTGTGAAAATGACCTTTGAAAAATGTTCTATTCCTGTGCATTTTGAATACTTGACAGAATTAAAATGTATAATGTATAAAACGTGAGAATATGAGTGGGGTGATCCCTGGTCCTTTTTTGCTTCTAACTCTTCCTGACTGAGGCAAATTGTGGCTTATCATAAACCCAGTTGATAACTTCACTTAATGCCAGCCAGAAGACAGGATTGTCTTCACCATTTTATAATATAATTCTCTGTTGGTTTTATCCTCATGCACAGAACTTTTCAGACTTCTGTCAGTAACTTTTAAATATCAGTTTGTGGAATTTGACCTTAGTTGGGCTTGTTACAGTGTTTATTGGTGGAGTTTGGAGAATCGGCTCATCCAACACTGCGCTACAGACTGAATAAATGCATATCTCAGTTTAACAGTAAAGTGTACGTTTTGTCTTTTCTCAAATTAGTTCTATTCTAAAAGGCTGATTTAAGTATTTGTTGTAATATTTTTATCGGAGCACTGCTCATCTTTACTTGACAACACAACCAAATGAGTGTAAAAAGTGAACCACTTCTTTTAATATAACAGCTATATATTTTTTTCAACTGCTGTGATCCAGATATCGAAGCAGAGGCATATGAACTGAGCACACTAACTGCAGGTAGGATTACATGCTGGTTGCAGCTTTACCAACCTTTACTTATTTACTCACCCCCCCACCCCTTCCCACCCCTCCAAGTTGAACCCTTTGCCCTCTTGACGTTCTATAAATACCATTTCACATCACGACTGCTCAGATTCATCATCATACCTTCTCCTCTCCCTCACTTTCCTCCGCTCACGTGACGTGTTGCTGTCTTGGAGTCGGTAACTAAATTAAAAATAGCCCCGCTGTGACAGGGTTCTTGACAGTGAGCGAGTCTGTACTTCAGCTGATTCTGTCTTCATTTGGTTTTTACTCCCAGCTCTGTCTGATGTCTCCTCTCTGCTGATGAGAGCAGCCTGCGCTTTCATCTCCACTTTAGTTGTCCTTGCATCTTTTATTTTAAGAAAGTGTGCAATGGATTAGTTTGTCCCCACCTCCATCCCCCAAAAGCCTTTGGATTAAGATGTGTGGGGGGGCGAGAGAGAGGATGATTAAAAAGAAGAAAAAGGAAGTCGAGGCATCAGAGAAGAAAAAAGAGAATAGAAGAAGGAGGAAGAGCAGGAGATGATAAGGAGGAGAAGAAAGAAGAAGTGGTGTGAAGAGCAAAAGGGGGGAAACACTGAAGGAGGAGGGAGCATCCTATTTAGTGTGTGTGTCTGTGTGTCTGTGTGAGTGTGTGTCAGACTAACCATCAGTGAAGTTTGACTCTTGCTGGTTCTGGCTGCTCAACATCTGCGCAGCTTCATGTGCAACAGTTTGTGATGTATTTTCCTCTTGGTTTGCTGTGACTGGTTGTTTATCATCAGTCTATCAGCCCCTTTTGAAAAACACAAAAAGTCATTCACTGTTGCTATGCGACTGTTTAAAACTCTTTCAAACCAGCTTGAAGCCCTGCGATCTTTTGCTGGAATAATATGATGAAATCTTCAGAACCATCAACATCCTGCATGCTGAGTCTGAATGCATGAGTCCCACACAGAGCTGTTAGGAGGCTTTGTATTAGAAACACATGCAGAGCAAGTCAATAGTATGATAACTGAAACACTAAAGAGATCTTCGTTAGCTACAAATGAACTGGTTTCTACAACCACTTCTAAAGACAAGCGTGTTCATACTTGCTCCAAATGGCCACACTTGAAGATGTCGCTAAAAGCCTGTCATCATCAAGACGCAGTGAATCGTACAGATGAGGATAATAGTGCACAGTTTCTCTCCTCAAGGACATTCACGATGTTGCGCTCGGTTGTAAACACAAACATGACCAAAGAATGACTAAAGAGAGAGCTCTCAAGTTGAAAGTCTGTCGAAAGTCTGCCTACTGTCATAGCTCAGCATATCAGGTTAGCTGTGGGTGAAAAATAATATGCAACACATCATCCCATTAAAAAATATATATATATATCCCTGGCTTTGTGGGGATACTGGTATAGGCTGCATCACACTCTTAACTCTGATCCTACATCTATATTTAGATGGTGCAGGTGACAGAGGGGGATTGTGGTGATTTTCTATTTGGGTCACCTTTTAAGGTCACTCATGCACACGAGCAAACAGCAAAGCCTGAGAGGTGATGTGATGTGATGTCATTGCCCAGTGCTGTAAACACATGTAAAAGTGTGCATACAGAATGGTGTGCACACATACCGTTCACACCGTGTCGTACACATCCCATCAATGCTCTTGCATTTAAGATGGTTTTAGTATTTACATTCTTGCACCTTCATGCAGTCAGATGAGGGAGGGTGGTGACATTTCTCAGACACAGTGGCCTCTGAAAAGACAGAAAACTTGATGATTCAGTGTGTTACATACAGCTTTTGTTGTTTCATGCTTATACAATAAGTCTGGCTGTGGTGAGTCTGAAGCTCCTTTTCCATGCTGATACTTTGATTTCGGTCATTCTGTGTTCATTTTCTTTTGCCATGGTAACCTGTAGCTGCACAGGAACGGCACTTTTCTTTAAAAATTTTCTCTTATGTACTTCTTGTATAATTACGACCATGTTAAAGAATACATTTTGTTCTCTTAGCGCCCCACTCTAATAATTTTGAAAAAGGGGTTTTTTTCTCAGCAGAGAAGCATGAAATTAGTTGGTACAGAACATAACCATGGAGGGACTTTCACAGTTTGTGAGAAGTGCTGGGAATGCAGGACTTCTGCTATTTATATCAGAATCTGTAATGAGAGATTGGGAAGAAACAGGCTGAGCTAGTCAAGTTAATATACTCAATGAGGACTTTGAATGCATTTATTAATTCAAACTGGTCAAATATACATGAATTGGGAAAGGTATTACATTTAAATGTTCAATATTTTATTAGGTGGGGCCTAGCAAGTGTTTTGTAAACACACATGTTCCCTGTGGGCTGCATTGCTACACAGAGACGGCCAGCACAGAAATTGGGTTTTGATATTGTTAGGAGCTGAATGAAAGCAAAAGGCATCTAGAGGGAGTGAAATCACATGGTGGCTGATAACAGCATGTAAAAATCTATTTTCTTTGAGGTAGAGGGCGCGCTGAAAATAAGCATTCCCTTTGGCAGAAATGATCCTTTCAGAAGAGTGAAGACACTTAAGCAAGCGTAGTCATCCACAAGAGCATGACTTTCTTTCTCTCTCTCTCTCTCTCTCTCTCTCTCTCATGCACACTCACACCCACACATTCACATCTCATTAGGACCCCTGCTTTCTCTCCACCCTCTTCTCCCAAATATCCACCATGTTCCTCATTCTCTGCCCACCACCACTTCACTCCTCCCCCAACACATTCTCAGTGGGATAATAGAGAGCTAAAGGTCACGGCTCCTTCTTGATTTTTCTTTTTCTTTTTTGGTTACTTCCTTAATGGACAGAGGAGGGAAATTTTACTCTATCCATCAGATATACTGTAGATAAAATAGATATTTCTCTCCATATGATGACTTTCACCTTGAGATGACAGAGATGAGGACTGTCTCAAGTGGCAATTGGGAATCCATCAGGGGCGTGTGTGTGTTATCTTTTTTTTCATTCCTCATATTTTACACTGGCCATCTGAGTTCAGAGGGTTGTAAGTGAAAGGATTCAAGCTTTTATTTTTAAGATATCAAAAAATTTGACTTTTTGAGAAAGTATTTAAGAAAGTTATTCATTCACTGAGTGTTGATACTTTAATCCATCTTTAGATTCTGATTCATTCTTCAGTTGCCAAATCATAAAATTGACAACTGATTAGTTTATTAGTTTACTGACCCATGAAGATAAAAAAAAATATAAAACACAACTATACTGTAAAGTAGTTAGCTGATAAGTAACAAGAAATTGCAATATAGAAATGCCAAAAATGGTTTGAGTTAGTATAGAAACAATGACGACATTACACTTTGTCCACTTGAAAATTCTCCAATAACAAAGTTTGAGACGTCCTAATCTAAAAACGTGCTTATGTAAAAATGTGAATTGTTTCAGTGGTGATGGAGAGCAATTTTATACTATTTATTTAGCTTGTATTAATTCACCGTTTCACTGCTGTTGCTGCCTATGTTGTTAGGGCTCATTTCTCCACTGCAGCTTATGCATTTCCACTGTATCATTCCTGGATGTCTTTATCAGTCTTCAGTGTTCAATACATTTATTAGTCTTCAGTGTATCTTTAAAAAACAGAGTCCAGTACTGTAAGTGGTTAACATGGGTTCGTATGTGGTGTACTGGTAGCAAAACGACTACGTACGTGTGCGCGTGCCTCTGTTTGTACACACATGCGCGTGCGTCCATATCCATGCCCTTGCCTGAGTCGTGCAGCTCATTACGTTTGATTCATGCAGAGCTCCTGCTCCTGCACTGAGCACTTGGCGGACAGACGCGGAGTGCAGGCAGTAGTTTGCTGCTGCCGCTGCTGCTGCTGCTGCTGATACCGCGGGGTATCCGCTCAGTGCATCACAGTCCTCCTCCAGTGGCGGGGAAGCAGTCTGGGATTCCTTCAGTGCCCGGTGTGGGATGCGCATCTGGACCGTAGAGTTTCCAGGGGACAATTACGCGTGGAGGCGCTCTGTTGTACCTCTGCCTGTCCCCCTTCCCCCACAGAGGAAATAATCACACCGGTTGAGGACAGTTTACCTTTTTTTTCTTTTTTTTCCTTTTCTTTTTTTTTTGTTTGGTTATTTTGACAGAATGGCAGGCGCAAAGTGCCTTCTGAAAACACCGAGGTAAGAGACTGCTTAATATCCAACGATAAAAACACAGTGTCGATAAGCGTTGTCGCATATTTCCAAACAAAAGCAAGACAATATCTCTTTTAGCACTGAAATTTTATGTCTGATATTCAGTAGTTAACATCTCCTTTATAGTGTTTTTATTTATAGTGCCATTTAAATGTTTGTCCTCAATATCCCATTAATGGATTTGCTGTGATATTTGTAGCACTCTTCTAAAATAGAGTATTTTAGCTATTTTCACAAAAGCACAGGACTGAAATAGCTAAGTGTAAGGCGACAGTGCAGAATATCCTTAATGCCGTATTGGATCAAAGCATAGTGATTTTTTTTGGGCTGTGCAAAGTGTGTCTGTTTGTGTTTAGTAAAGCGCCCCAAAATCCATGCAGAGCGTTGCAGTAAAGCCGCTTTCACAGTAGACTGTCAGTGTGTGTGCAGTAAACAAAATATTTTAGCTTGCCTGGCCTGGCTGGAACAAATGTGTGTCTGATTTAAAAAAAAAAAGAAAAGAAAAGGGCAGCAGTTCAATTTTCACATCTCAGAACTCAGCTTCAGTCATTTCAAGTTATTGTCATCTGCGTTCTTTAGGACCTAAAACTTTCCACGCTGATTATTTAGTCCATTTAAACGCTTTCCAAAGCAGTTCAGTACAAAGGCTGCCACCAAAAGTTGCCTGTTTTCTGCACCATGTAGTCAACTGGGCAGGCTGGCCTTCAGAGTCTGGCGAAATCCTCAACCACCAGCTACAGTAAATTACAACAGGGGACCGGCGGCTGTCCTTGAAAGCCAGACATCTTCAGGGGTTTATTGTGTCCTCTCATCAGGTTTATTCCTGCTGGGTACCTGGGGCCCCGGGAGCACGAGAGCGCAAGGACCTGTCCATCATCACGGTGTGGTGATGGAAAGGTCGTTAAACGCAAAGATTAGAAAGGAGGTGGCGTGAGAAAATGTATCCCGCTGGTCTCCTCTATTTTACAGTGTTTTCCATTTCCATTTTTTTTACAGTGTCATTCGCTTCCAATATCCTGCATGTAACCAACATATTCACTGCAGAATCATTGTGTGTGTGTGTGTGTGTGTGTGTGTGTGTGTGTGTGTGTGTGTGTGTGTGTGTGCGCGCGCGCGTGCGTGTGTGTGTATTGGATGGGTGTTTTGATTTGTGCCTGGCCGACACAGCAGCCTATATAAAGCACATCACATCGCATCCACTTATCTCCTCTACATGATTTTTAGTGTGTCCAGCCATTCACTGCAAACTCACTTTTCCTGTGACACACTTATTTACATCATTAACTGCAAATAGATCCAGTCGTGTGATCCCTCCGGCGATTTCAAAATGGAATGCTTTTAATTTGCTTTGAAATATGCGGATTACAGAAAAAAACAGCTGCTCCTATTTAAATATGCATCCCCAGCCTCTTTATTTTCCAAATTGATCCTCATTAATGCCATTCTAGATAAGCTTCGATTTGGCTTATCTCAGTGAAAGCATGCATGGTGGATAATGATGCCATCTTGGGATTTTTGACTTTGGTATGTTGTCTTTTTTGGGCTTGCCATGGTCTGACAGACGTTCTCATCACTACAGTTTGTTGAATAATTTTGTTCTATGCACCAAATGTTGCATTTCCCTGTTTGTCCTCCTGTCGCCACTGCTTACAAATTTTATGATTTGGCAAAGTGGTGGTGATTTTTTGACACTTCAATGCTTTGTTGGAAACAGTATGTGTGTGACATCTATTTTCTGCAATACAGAAATTGGAAACTGGCTGCAGGCTCTCTTAAATGCACTAATAGCCCTCTGCAAAAAGCTGCAGTTCACTAATGGGTCCAACATGCAGTTGGCTTTGCCTTCTCTTCTTTGCTAGAGAGTCTGTGTCATGAGTGTATTTATCCAGCTCATGCAGAGAGAGAAGACATCACAGACATCCCTAAAGAAACATTAGCTACAATGATTTCCCATGAATGATAATGTGATAAACAGGTCTTGACGTCCAAAAACCGGCACCTAAAACTCTTTGCACTCCTTAGTAAATGATTGGCAATGTCATATTGTATGGCCATGAACTGGTACATTTTTAAAAGGGGAGGTGTTGAGTGTTTGACAAGAACTTACTCTGACAAAGTCAACTCCATGCCCTTTTTGCCTTGCAGTAACTTCCAGTCGTCTGCCATGTTTGAAGGCTCAGAGGCTGTCGAGGTGGAGGGAGGCAGCACAGACAGCACCGTGGCCTCGTCCATCAGCGCCTGTAAGAAGGTAAAAAAAAAAAAACAGAGCTGTGTTGTATGTGCTGTGCTGGAAATACACGTCTATCTACTTGTGTCTCCGCCTGTCTGCTGTGTGACCACTTCTTTTTGTCTTGTTTTTTCTCTGTCCATGTGTTTGTGCACCTGCCCATCATATCTGTCTCCTTGTCACTTTATCTTTTTGTGTGTTTCCAGCAGTGCCAGAGATTTTCATTTCCTCCTCCAGGGTGCCAGTGACACCCAGGGGTTGTGTAATAAGAGGCACAGCCAGGCCCTGGGGTCAGCCCAGTAGATTTATCATCTCCCAGTGCCAGAGAGACAGGAGGGGAAATGGTACAGATCAGTGGGCTGAGGTGGAGGCTAGATTGAATTTTCTTTCAAAGTGTGTGTAGATCTACTTGTGTGTGTCCCTTACTGTAAGTGTATGTGTGCAGGTGGACTCGCTGCTGTGTTCCTAATTAGCCTGCCGCTCATGATCTTAACTGACTTCCACTCCAGCGTCCTATAGAGGCACAAGGTGACAGCTTTGTTCAAATTGGAGCTCTGGCTCCTCTGACCTGTGCCCGCAGCCTTTGATACGATCGTTCTCAGTGAGATCAGCTGAGTCTACGTCACCTTTACCTGGCCGAGGGCCTGCACAGATGGCCCATTCCTGAGGGTGCAAGCATAAGGGGGGCATGATTTGTCACTAAAAATACACAGTGATGAGAGAACAACACACGTAATATCTGTCATACGTCAAAGTAACTGCATAAGAAGTATTTTATTTATAGCATGTGCTTTTAATCTTTTAACTGCTTACCTGCTGTGCCTTATTAAATAAACTACAGAAAACTTCCTTCTTTTTGTTTTACAACAAAACAAATAGAAGTATACCATATGGGTAAATTCTGAATTGTGATTAGCATCAGGGGAATGTTTAAATTCATCCTTGTAAACAAATTGGCTTTGTAACTGGGTGATTATTAAAGCTGCAAAGTCAATAGTCTGTGACAAATGAATGTGTCAGTCACCAGCACACTTGTCATTGACAAAAGCAGCTGCATGGCTGTGGGTTTCATACAAAAAGGCTTCATTAAAGTGTCCCTCCAGGGAGGAGACAATAACTGTTGTGTGTATATATAATGTGCAGTGTCTGGTTAGCTGACAGATTATTGATCCTGTGTCGCAGACACTTATCCTGAAGTGAAGGTTCTGGAGAAAGGTCAATTGATCCCATCTACCAGAGGGAAAACACAGAGTCTGGCAGAAGAAAGTGAATGAGTGACTCAGTTGGGGTGTGCACGTGTGTGTGTGGAGTCATTAAGGAAGCTCCATGTGTGTCCCTGTGTGGTGTGACTTCAGTGCTACTATACCTGAGCTGGGTTTATCTGTGTGCTGCAGGTTCTGTGCAGTAACAGTGTGCTGGACTCGTCCGAGTACTGGCTGAGGAATGAGAAGGCTCTGTGCAGACTGGGTCTGCTGGACGACGACACTGAAGGCAGCTGCACCATGGTGAGTAGCATACTGCGGGTGATGAAACATGTGCACACTAATGGAAACAAAGATGCACCAAGTCATTTCTAGTGTAGAGACCTAACGCTGCAGGAGGTATGTTTGTGCCCTGAAATGACAGTGAGGTAGGGGGCTGAATTTTCAGGTAGAAATGATGTGAGATGACATCGAAAAACTGCACACACTTCAGTGTGCTCCCTCTGAGTGGCTTGTAGGCATGGACATGGTTGGAAAAAAATGTTTTTGCAGCAGGTTGTTGCTGGTTCCTTGCTGCTATTTATCTGCCACAAGGTTTGATGTGTCTCTCGTATTGTGTTGAGAGAATGTTTGGACAAAATGGATGTGACTTAGTCCAGGACAATGGCTGCACCAGTCCTGAGCAGTGCAACTGTGAGATGTCACTTTTCTTTACTCTTTCTTTAAAACGCTAAAAATATCTGTCAATGGAGAAATAATTGTCCTGTATTTTTTCTTTTACTAAATTTTTTTTTTATAGTATCAAAGTAGAAGAGGAAAGTATTACTTTATGTGCAGCAACAGCTTGTGTGAGGAGTTAGTGATTAAGGCGGAAATGATGTTACACATAAATGCGCATGAACATCTGTGATATTCCCAGTGCAGTCCACCTTTTCACAGCAGGCCACACTGCAGCTCCACTGAAGCAGTTGGAATTTAAAGAACGACATAACAGCTGATCAAAATGCTGTTTTTTCTGACCCCCAGCAGTTTAACTTCTCATCTTGCTACAATGATGTAGAGTTGTACATTAGGGTGTGTCAGTGCACTGACATCACTGTGAGGTTAGTGCCTTGCTTATGGGCCTCATGCAGTTGATGGACAGGAAATATCCCCTTAAACGACTATTATTTAATTCATAAATGTCTAATTCATAAACAGTGTTACTTCCGATGATGTCAGTCAGTGTTTTTCCACTTACTTTATTGCCAGTTCTGTGAATGAAAAGAAGGATTTGGCTTGTGTTTTTAATTCTTGAAAATAATTTTTGCCTCTACTAATGGAATATCATTTCTCATAAGCACTTTGCTGCTTGTAATATACTAGATGATTTTCATTGAGCAGATGTTATAAATGATGATATTTTATTCTGCAGATTGTTAAAGGCTCAATTCAGTCTCAGCAGGTCCTTGGTGATCAAACCGTTAAAGGAAGATGGTTTTGTGAAGTAGATGCATCCCTGTTGTGGTAATTTCATCTCCCTCTGTGACTGAAAATAAAAAATCTGTCATAGAGTGGTTTTAATAGTTCATGATCATTTTCATTTATTTATGTGACTCAAGACCATGATCAGAACAAATTGATAACAAAACGGTGGCACAAGATTACAAATAACATTTGGATTATCTGATTGCAATAACAATATTAATTTAAACATAGATGATCGGCTTAAATAACCTTTCTCTATATTTCATTATGTTTATATTCTTACATGCAAACAAAATATGATACTCGTCCCCTACAGGATTATCATTACAAAGATCTTACATATCTTCTGGTTTCTGTCCAGCCCCCTTTATTGTCCAATGACCAGAGGAATTCTGATGTTGTTCACTTTAAACTTACACATAGCCTACCCACACTTTTAGTTTTTACACAAAAGATACTTCTTCAGTTTAAGCTTATTTAAATTCTACATAAATATCACATGATGTCAGACTCCTGAGCTCTGACACCATGTGAAGAACTGCTTATCCTGCAAGACCCTTAGTGCTTCTGCTCAACGTAATAACAATCACTTAATAAAAGCTATTTACGTAAGCCTCGATCAAATTACTCAATGTAAAAATTGTCTGACTTATACTTTGTTTACAGTGTTTTAATCACTGTAATCAACACCCCCTATTTCATTGGCATGGTTGCTAACTCCAGCTCCACACCCAGACATACAGACATCAATATGACACAAACCTACAACAACCTACGTACATAAATTCAGTCACTACACCATCTGTACACTGTAACTGTACATTTACTAAACAAAGCAGCGGTAGTGTCCTGCAGAGACTGAATTGAAAGAATGAATAGAAATCATACGCTGTCATTCAAAGTACAATTTAAAACACCACTTTTAAGTTTGTATCTTGGCACATAATATTGTAAATAAGCTATTTTCATACCGTCTTTGCCTCCATTGAGTGCATGTTGGAATAGATTTAGCAGAAACACAAGTCTTGAAACATCAAGATCAAACTGCGTGATCTTGTCCTGTGGGACAAATGATACAAAATTGGAGAAAACTCATAAAAATGACATTGAAATTTAAAAGAAGTTTGATATAGTCAACACAAATGACTCATCTACAGTTCTCCAGGACACTTTTTTATAGAATCTGCTATTTAGCAAAAGTATTCTGGACACGGTGGATGTGGGGATTTATAAAATACATCAAAAGTGAAAGCTAAAAAGAGAGGTTTAATCCTCTCTGTCACCCAGTTCTAACCCTTTGGTCACTCATACATTTTAAATGGCAAGTTAAGCATGAGTTGCTTTCAGGATTTGCATCACACAGGCACTCGTTTGTTTTTGTCAGGAGAAAAAACAGGCAAGTGTATCAGTTCAGTTAACAGGAGCAGTATATGTTGTGTGATTATAAACCAGATCATCAGGACCTAACTCAGATTTTCTTTATGGAAGAAAAGATTTGGATCTGTGTCCATGTTGTTGTTGGGCCTCATTAAAGAACATACCTGAAATACTAATCACTTCATCCGAACTGTTGTTTCTCATTAAGAACGACATATTCACCCACACTTCAATGATAGCCTAATAATATATCTAAATTTCATTCCCTCAGAGGTGAAGTCAATTTTCTCACCTCTTGCCAAATATCTCCTATGCTTCCCTCTTTCGTTGGTTTTTCTAAGATCCTACCTCTGGACTCTGAGCAGCACCGTGTCTGAGTCACGACCTGCACCTCACTGATCAGAGCCTCGGCTCAGTGATCCAGGTTCCATTGCAAGAGTAGTGGTGTCAGTCTCACAGATCTGGATTAAGTGTAGTCCTTAAAAAATTCTTCCCGCAGAGAGATTCTGAAGAACAGCCTCACACACTAGTAGTCTTTGCATGACTGTAGAATACTCGTCTCTCATTTCACAGCATAGTTAATGTTTTAATGGCAGGTCAGCGTCAGGAACCATAAATAACATAAGGATGATTAAACACAGCAAAGACCAGAACATGGTTTTCAAGCCTTATTTAAACGGTGCCATTTAAACTTCCTGCAGTTTGTCCTCACCATCAAATCATGCAACTTGAGTTACTTTTTTTATTTTTAATTCCTCTGTCATGGACTGAAGCTGGTTTGTCTTTTGAAGAATAAATGCCAGTAACACACAAAGTGTTTTGACATTTTTCCTATACTTCCCTAAAACATGCCTCAAGTGTTTGATAATCATTACCAAGGTAACAGGACTAGCAGTAATTTAGCAAAGAGCACCGTTCTCACACACTCATGTCGCACTTCATAAATGTGAGCAGCCACATGCTGAATTGAATGTTCCTAAAACACGCAGACACCAGCTGTATTATCTAGTACAAGTTGTACACACGACTCAAACTGTGTGTGGGTTATATGCATGAGCTTTTCAGAGGTGTTGGTGTTTTCTACAGCTCCTCACATATACTGATACAAGTTTTGGCAAATACAGAGCTCATTCATTAAAGTTTAATGGGTTTTCTGAGGGCAGCTGGTCTGTACATCAGCTCAAATGACCAAACACATCTCATGAAACAGATTTACGCATTGCACCTCAATGCTTTTCCTTGCCATCAGTCTTAACTTGAGATACTGTTTGTGACAAGTGCCAACTTGAAAACAAAGACATCACTCGCACTGTCCTTGTCTCTGCAGAACAGTCCGCTTCTCAAGCACCTACCTGGGATTGGGATTATACGGACAGTTTTATCTTGGTGAAATGTAAAAACAAAAGCAGCTTAATTTTCACAGTGTCTGTATTTAAAAGAGACAATGGTCATTCATTTTTGTTTTTTTTCTACTTTGTGATTGTTTTCTATGAATCAGGGGGAACTTGAATGCGGGTGTGAACAGATGCAGCCCGTCCTCCCGCAGCATCGCTCTTGGACTTTGACGTGACAAATTGCTCTTCTGACTCTCAATTCTCTATTCGGCTTTTCCGTGGTTCACATGGCCAATCAATCAGATGGCAGCTTACAATTGATGGCACTGTGTGAGAAATAAATTCTTCTGTCCTGGCCTGAACTGTACAGAGAGGCAGAAAGACGGCAAAGAAAAAAAAAGAAAAGAAAAACTGAAAAAACCAATGAATGCTGATCCAAAGAGAATGAGAGGAGTAGCCACTGAACCACACACAAACACTGGAAAGTGGAGAGTGATACAAAAACTCACAGACCACAGGGTAATGAAGAGAGGAAGCTGATTGTTTTCATGTTGTTGACTTGGCCTTTTGTTTAGCTTTAATTGACCAAAGTAATTATAGTATTGAGTTTTTGGGGTTTGGTTAAAGGTTAAAAACAGCATACTCTGATTACACTGGAAGCTGACTAATTAGAGATCTTTTTTTGATAATCCAAATTTACCCATATTATACCCCATTGTATTGAGTTTTCTAAGAAAATTCTTTTTTGAGATTCAAAAAAATCCATTGTTTATGTATTCAGGAAGAGGAATTGTCCCAAATAATATACCAAATACCCAAATAAAGGCCAAAGACTGTGAGCTAAATAAAAGATAAAAGCTTAGGATTTTCGCTCCATCACCCACCTCTGGCTGCATCATGTTGTCACCTTTGATCACTCACTCATGTTTTAATGCATGAAGTCACAGAGAAGTGTCATGTTGCTGTGATAGTCACACTGCATTTCATCACACCCCTGAGAGATTTGACAGGGTGAGCATTTTGAGGAGGAAGATGGGACCTTATAATTTTTTTCTTTGCGAAGCAGAACAGTTACCAAATCTCTGCATCTGATTTCCATGTATTTCTCTTAATCAATGTATTTAT